GTTTACACAAACATGCTTTGGAATAAAATGCCATGAAACAATAGTGTGTAATTATCATTCATAAAGCATTTTTTGTCTTTGGAGTGCTTTGCAAACATTAACTAATTAAATTTTACAGGTCCCCTGTGTGTTCACATATTATAATTATCCACAGGTTAGTGACTTGCTCAAGGCCATGCAGGCAAGGAGAGAATGAGTTGGGATCAGGTACATCTGCCTCTTGCTCCCATGCTTAATCCACTAAAATGTGTTGCTCCAGAGTGAAGCTCAAGTCATTAGTGGTCAGATATGTGAAATGCATTTTATGGATAGTGAGGCAGGCATTCTGTAATTGCTTGAAGAGCATGACTCCGAAGAATGAATTATAAATAACATTCTGAGTTACTACTACCCAGTTAGCAGTTTGTACACCTGTTTGGCATCTCTTTCCCCAGTGATTTGTTATTCAGCTTTTTATGTTTTGTCTTTCTAAATCAGAACAGAAAGTAGGGGCAGAGCCGTGTGCCTGAAGAAATTTAGAGCTATAACCAGTACTCATAGGTGTGGATTGGATAGCAGAACACTGCCAGGAAAAGCCACAATAAAACTTCCTCAGCGAACTGCTACTTTGACTTACTGATAAGAAAAAGAAAGAGCATTGTCCTCTGCTGTCACTTGAGCCAAAATTACTTCTTGTTTCATTATCTAGATTAGATAAGTTTTTATCTTTCCTTTTCCATAAGGCAGTTCCTGTGATTTTTGACAGACGTACATGCAGCACAATTAAATCTTAATAGCAGTGCTTACACTGATTTATGGAAATATTGTCCTGAGTGTTGAAGTCAATGCATGCAAAGCCACAAAAGTTGTGTAGGTCACGGGTATGTAAACTGCATGTAAAGGAGGGAACTATTAAGAGGGGAACACTGTTGGCAAGGCATAATTGAATGAGCATGTAAATACAGGAATAAAAAAATTAACCTACTTTTTTTTTCCTGCCATTTTCCTTTCTCCTGCGTAATGGGAAAAGATTGTAGTAGGTTTCTCCATCTATTAGTTAAATCCTCTTTGACTAGAAGTGATTTCACCACAACCTCATTTCTCACAGCAAGTTCTTTTTATGCTGGAGATAAAAGAAGAGGGAATGGAAGCTCTTGGATGATGGATATGAAGAGAGGGTTTTTTTGTGTTGAGCCTGTGTGCCAAGGAGGTGGCACTGTCCATGTGCATGTGACTTAGAACATGAGCATTACTATTCTGAATACATCACAGAAAGGATACTTGGACCTCACGGCCGCCCCACACATGAAATTACTCTAGTCAAAATACAGGAATTGAAGGCTGAAACAAGGAGTAAAGCAGCACAGTGCCTGACATTATAGTATCTAAGCCTGGAGTAATCACAGTCACAGGTTTCAGAGTCAAACTCTGCACCTCCATCATTAGAGCAGTGACCAAAGATGTGTCAAGCATGAGGTTCTGGGTCATATTTTTCTTTATTTATCCTTGCGAAATGTACTGAGTTGCCAGAGGATAAAGCAGTGCAAGGAAGTATGAAAGCTGAGGCAGGCAGAAAATAAGGAAGAGACCAGGGTGGATCAGAGGAGGCAGAACTGGCAGAGCTCTCTTGTCTAGCCTGTGTTGCTAGCTCAGGGGGGCATGGAGCAGGCTGGCAGGCACTGGGGCCGGAGGCTGCCCTAGAAAGGGCTCACCTCAAGGCCTGTGGACAGGATCTGCTGCTGGCTGAAAAGCCCAGCACTGCAAACAGAGCCTGAAAAATAAATTAACCTGGAAATCACCCGAAGCTGATGTCAGGCTGTAAAAGAAATACTTGGTTGATGTACTCATTAAAAGTCAGCAGTCCCAGTCTTGTCAAAATGTGTACCTCAATTATTTGCATGAAAAGTACAATATTTAGCATAGTGCTGGGATAATGCATGATAAGTCAGGGACACACAGGGCTGTCAGATAGACATATAAGTCACCATGGTATTTCTCTTAAGAACTGATGAGCACTGCTGTTTCTATAATCAGTTGCTTGTCAGGGCCAAAGAGTCAAACCATTGATAAATAAGTTCACAGGAGGAACTATAATAATGACCAAAATCTCAGTCATAAAAGTTTCAAAAGCACAATAATAGAGTAATGTTGTGTAATAAACTGTTTGCTGAAAATTATTTACCAAGCTGAGCAGGTTGATTCCTTTTGCACTCCATTTTTCCACTTCACAACTGCTCAGCTGGCTGTATCACCACATGATTTCTGAGATGTTTTGCCATTCCTATAGTCAGAATAACAGAAGGTGGTTCTCCTTTTGCTTGAGAGGAGCATGCAATTCTGTAACAGGTACATCCTTGCCAATATATTGCATCACATAGAGGTTGCACTATCCCCAAATGCTTGCAACACACATGAAACACTGCAGGTACCCAGGACCAAGATGAGCCACAGCAGCATAGGCACTTGAGACAAGATGCAGATTTTCTGCCTTAGGGGAGGTCTGATGGAGGTGTTGTGAGCTTCTGAAATAGGTGGTTGGCTCCAGCACTGTGGCAGAGCACCTGCACAAGGCATTAACACTTGCGGGGTATAGTCAAGAAAGAGTTAAAGGCTTTGAAGTTCAGTGGGCAGAGCAGTTAGCTTCCTAGAGATGTCTCCACTTACATCCTGGGTGGGTACTTGGCTATGAGTTGGTTCTGCTCTCTTTGGAGCTTGGGCTTCTGAACTGTAATAGTTCATTAAAGTAGTTTGGAAAAAAAAAAACAAGAGCAGCTCACATTCCCAACTTTCCATTGTGGAAATGAAGAGATCAAGTTCTGAGCTTACCTGTTGCTGCCTGCTGTAACACCCAGAGTGTGCTGTCCTCTTCCCATTGGCCATCTCTCTGTGTGAAAATGTGACAGCCAGCAGTAGTGCAGCCACCCACCCATGATATAAAAGCCTGGTGTTAGAGCACTAACTCAGGAAGCCAGATATCTGCATTTGTGTGCAAAAGATACCTAGGAGTGGTCCTTTTCCTCTTTATTCTGCACTTGCATTTTGGATTGGGAAGTAACTGTTACAGATCCTTTTTATACTGATTACATGGTCTGAGATGTGTTTTAGCCATTTTCATAGCACAGATAAGCTTGAGGTTCCAGAGGCAAGGATTAGGTATTTCTCTCCATGGTTTCTGGATTGGAGAAGAGGCAGGGTGAGAGGCCACAGCCCTTTGGCTTTCACACCAAACAGAAAGGAGCCATAGTAAATTTAAGGTGTCAGTGAGGTTGTTTGGATGAGTGTCTTTTGCTTCAGTGCCTGGATACTGTAGGTTCTAAATAGAGTTTTAGCTATCTGCTAAATTTCCCACTGTCAAAAATTCAACATGCAAATACTTAACCTCAGCAACTGTATTTTGGTCTGCCAAGTTGCTTAGTTGTTAAAAAGGGAACTTTATGAAAAGGAATGTCTGAAATGTAGAATTATGACTTCCAGGTAATGTATTGATGTTTATATCACCTGTGCAAATAAATTATTTTCCAGTGAGACACAGAGATGATTATAATTTAATTGACATGGAAGACAACCATTGGTCTTAATGGTTTCCAGTAACCATTTATTCCAGTGCATATTGTTTTCATTTGAGGGCTGATAGGGCAGGGGAGATTTTGTCACAGTGCTCTTTGATTAGGTACTGACACAGTTGTAGAATAAAATTTGTACCTATTTGAGACAGTGAGACAAGTACCTGATACATATTTCTGAGAAGGAAAAGACTCCACATGGAGCATGGAAAAAACCAAAACAGTGTTAGGCAGTGATAGAGCTAATAACTTACACTTCAAAAACTCTGTACATCATTTTGTCATCTGCATACCATATTTGTGTCATTATCAGAAATTTAGCATCTAACAAATGGCAAAAACAGTAAAGAAAGCCATTATTTACTGTAGACTTGAAGCAGGGAAGTGTGACAGGTTCAAAGCATTCAGTGCAAAATTTTGAGAGAAAATGGATTGTTAGTAGGTTTCCAAGGGCCAGAGGAAAATGCAATTTTATAAATTAAGCAAAGTTGTTCTGAACATTTCCTTTTCACTTTCAACAGTTCCTATGCCAACCTGGATATTTTAATTGAGCATTATAAAAGATTCAAAACATTTTCAGTGCAAATACATTCAACTGCTAGTGTGCTTGAGCTTTTTATTATTCATATTGTTACTCTAATATTTTTGCTAGTTTCTTGGGCATTAGCCTCAGACTACTTTCACAGTACATTTGAGATCTGAACCACAAACCGAAGGACCAAAGGAGCTTATTCATGTTCTTGGCTTTCTGCAGATTTTTCTTTTTTTTCCCCCCCTGACTTGGTGGAATTTTTTCCAAAAACCATCTGCATGGAGCTTCTTATTTGAGCACATGCAGTAGATCAGAATTTGTCAGTGAAAAGGAACATCTCATGTAATCCAAATCTCAACCAGCATAGGAGTTTGTACAGCTATGGCACTGTATATTGGTGTTGTTCATTATTCAAAATGGTATTTTAGAAGATTGTATATTTTCCCTGGAGTCCCAGTTCTAAGTAAAAATGTTAAAGCCTGAGTTTTTTTGTTTTGTGTGGGAATAATATTACTGATGCAGCAGAATTCTGGGAGCAGACCTGCACTGCAGCCACTTCATGCAATGTCTGCGTGCTGTAGATTCTCATTAGAGTTTACCTCTTTGTTGCTGATGATTTTTTAATAAGAAAATGATAGATCATGATCCGGAATTACCACTAAGTGACATGTGTGTCCTTAAGCTTAGACTTTGCTGCCATGAAAATTAATCACAGAGCTCCTAATTACTTACCATTAGATGGGGCATCTACAGAGCAAATTCACTTTGAGGAGATTTTTGAGTGAATGGGAAAATCCTAAAGTGTCTTCCACACTGAGGCTGTGTGCCTTACTTACTTTGCAGTAGGTGTTCCTCAAGCTTGTCTAAGTCCCCTTCGATTATTTGGGGTAACTTAAAATTCCTAATTGTCTGTGTTCAATTTCCAGAGAGAGCATGTGGGGCTGTGCCAGGTCAGCTGTTAACCCTTTTCGTTTTTTCAACTCCAGGTATGAAGCATTTTATTGTGTATTATATAATTTTCTGTTTTATTGATGAAGTCAAGTAGCAGTGCTTTTCAGGTTTCTTTCCCTCTTTATGTCATGACTGGGGGGGTATGTGGGGCTAGGTGAGATCTGAAGTTGAGTTTTGCAATTGCTTTTTTTTTATCTTGGGGCTCAAGAGGGTGGTGGGAAAGCTGCAATTTAAAAAAAAAATTTTTTAATAAATCATAATGTTTAAAATATAAGAATAGAAAATACCTTTTCTGATGTTTAATAATATAGTTTAAAGTGTTCAAAGTAGTCTGCTGAATTTGAGTAATGAAGTTAATGTGCATCAATGTAGCTCATGTTATAGTGAATCATTGCCAATTACCGTGAAGCAAAGCTGCAAAATGTAGGTAGAGCTCTTCGCAAACATCTTCTTGATTTTATTTCAAGGAGGGCACAATTTTGAAACCTTCCTCTGTAATGTTCCTTGTAGATGGATGGCACAGGGTTTACATGCCAGTCCAGTAGCAGGGGTGACTGGGAGGCTTCAGCAAGTGCTGTGGTACCTTAAGGGCCCTCGGGCTCACCCCACTTGCCCAGGTAGAAATGATGTCAAAGGACAGAAGGATGTACCAAAGCTGGTAGGGTTCCTGTTTTTGTGGGACTCATGGCTGTTGCTTTAGTGGGTTTTAAAGCAGTATGCAGTGAAATGTCCACTCTTAGTGTGCTTGCTTGCCTGCCTGTCCTCCTCCCTGCTTTTGTTTGTTTTGTGTGCCCCTCTGAAGGTTCCTTTGGAGCTGTGTTTATTATGGGGCAAGTGTAAACCCATCAGCTCGCTGCTCTATCTGCTCTTAGTGACCTGTGTTCCTTCGGTCTGTGGAGTACAGAAGAAAAAACAACTTCACAAATTCAATATAAGCAAGTATGTTCCAGAATAAATCAAATTCTTCACATTTATAAGTACAGCTAAGCTTCATAATAAAATTAGGAAGAAAGCATGTTTAAGAGCAATTACACTTTCAAATTGCTAATGAGTAGTCAAATACAGAAGTCATTCCTCAAGACTACTCCTATCTCCAATTTGCAGTTAATTACACTACAACTGGTATATTTATATTAAAAATTTGCAGGATCTTATTACTCGAACATTTTCAAAGTGGCAGCAGGAGCAATTTCTCTGTTAGAGCTAATACAAATCTTTCAAGGTTTCCTTTGCTATGAAATTGAAACTATACATTTATTTTTAAAAATCCCTAGAATGTTCTTTGATTTGATTGTATTATCAGTGCAATGTCAGGAATTGCTCTGATGAGCCTCCTAGTCTCTCAAAATGTTGTGCTTCTAAAACATACGCATATTTCAGATATAGTTTTTATTGCAGACTTCTTTAGTTGGCATTAAATTAACCATATAGCATTTTGCATGTTGGCTTCTATTCTGCAAGAAGCATTTTCAAGAAGGACACTTATGTTGTTAATTTTTTGCTCTTTGTTGATGTTGTCAGTATTTTGCTTTAAAAATCCCTCATGAATTTATTTGGTATTTATATACTATAGTAATGAATATGAGATCCTACTAATGAGGCCCCCTGAAAAACATGCATGGTTAGATGTAGATGAAGATGGGTGTCATCTCATGCTGAAAGTTGGTGTGCTCTGACTGGAGCGAGATGTGACTGAAAGGTAACATTTGGCAAGACAAATAGGTTCTAATGAAAGCAGAAATTTGGAAAAGAGCTGGGGGGTAGTTAGGTGTTTTTAAAATAAAGAACCAAATTGATCAAGATGACACATCTGTCAAACCTCATTTGGGCCATGTGGACTTAGCTGTAGATTGAAAGGTGGAAGTAAGATCAATTAGATTAACATCGAAGTCAGTGCATTATTTAAAAATATGAATTCTTATGGTGCACTTGAAACTGCTGACAGTGCTAGGAGTCTTCCCCACAGCTGGTCCCTCCCATTGGGGTATGGCATTGCTGAAGTTTGGGAACAGTAAATGCTTGTCAGAAGTGAATTCTGCTGCAGTTAAATGCAGCTATATAAGTGGATATATTTCATTTGAATTAAATTTCATGCCTACCCAGGTTTGGGTATTTTTCAACTTGGTATTACTAAACTTATCTTTTTTCACTAAAGTGCAAGAAAGTTATCCTTTCATAAAATTACACCGAGAAGTATGGTATTCCAGTTAGGAAAGTACAGAATTTGATACTTCAATTTCTTGGTGATGACGGAGGAACAGAGTGGATCACAAAGTCTTGAAGAAACATTTTTGTACGATTTTTTTCCTAGTTTTTCTTATTGGGTTCATCAAATCTACTAAGAGTTGCAAGTTTTACTCCAAACCAATTCCACGCAAATCTGCATCTGCTGACCTCTGTGGATGGCCAGAGGCTGTGACAGTTGCCTCGGTTCATGCACATCTAACTGTTCATTTCCTCTAAAACGTGGAGCGTTTTGTCCAGACTGCCTCCTCTGATCCACTGGGAACAAAGTGATAATGTGTGCGAGTTTCACATGTTGGGGGCACAACGTGCCTCTTCGTCTTTGCTGTCTTGCTAAGGGTACTGCTTTAGCTCTTGTATAATCTTCCCTGATCCTCTTTTTAACACCTCGTCCACAGGCTCAGCCAGATGGGAGATGTTTGGCAGCTGGAGGACCCAGATGCCAAATTCTGGAATACAGCTTCCCTGCATTGGCACATGGGCTCATGGCTGGCTTCTTGGCTTGCACCTCTGCTAACTTCTTGGCTACTGTCTAGCTGGCAGCTGTGGCACTGCCTCTGGGGCTGTGTTCAGGTCAAGCTGCTTTGGAGTTGGATGGCTTTCCTGATCTGAATTGCGCTGCTGGACACCATTTTCACCTCAGTTCACTGTGACTCTCCACTGTTCAAAGATGAACGTTTGCAGTGTTCTATTGTATTGCTGACATTTGTAAGACTAATTCGAAGCAGTCCTTCTCATTTGTCATGAGTTCAAAGAGAGAAGAAGCATTGCAGTGCAGAGTACACTGCTTTACTTGTTAGCATTCCCATTAGTTAGTAAGATTGTTTAGGCCCATGTCTCTACTTGCAATTCATCTCCAGGGCCAAATTGTTAACTGAAGAGCACAGGCTTTAAAGGATGTATTTCTTGTGTCTAAACTTGCTTTCAGCTGAAAGTGAATCTAGCATCTGTCAAACAGAAAAAAAACCCACACATTTGCAGAGGTAGTCTGGATCATTTTTAAAGAACAGGATAAATAATAATGATGATGATGATAATAAATAGGAAGTTACTGGTAATAATTAAGTGCACTGCCAGCAGAAAATGCTTGATCTTCTCTTTGTCAGATTTGGAATGTCCTCATTTCACATTTACTTTTACTTCAGGTTTTTTATTGGGCTTTTTTTCTTAGTTTGTTGTTTTGTTTTTTTTGGGTTGTTTTTTTTTTTTTTTTTCCCGTAAATGAGGTAATGAAAAATTAATGCATCTAGGATAGGCAAAGCATTTGAAGCAATTCCCTATTCTACATATTTTTCTTCATGCAGCTCAGTGCATAAACATTACTTTCAATGGGAAAAGCTGCAAAATCAAGAGGTCACTTACACTCTGTATACTTACAGTAAAATTCAGATTAGTCATACCTATTATGAAATTTTCTTTCCCTCTCTCAACCAGAGTGGGACTATGTTGTGCTACACTAGAGGCACTGATATCTCTGTTACACTCTCAGAAAACTTTTTTAATGCTTGAGTGAGTAGTGCTTGTGCTTCACTGTGAAATGAGACTTCTACCTGTATATCAAGGTTAAGCTTTGCAGGTTGAGCTGACCTCTGAGGAAAAGCACTTGAATTCCTCATTATAGTCACTAGAGGGAATTCAATGTCCCAGGAACAACCGAAAAGGAGCCCTTACCCATCTAGTTTAGGTGTATACTTTAGTGGGCTAGAGAATGTAAGTGCTTCTCTGGAAACACAGCCCAGTTACATCAGATCAATCATTATGGATTGTATAGAGAACCACTAGGAAGTAAAAGCATTGTTTTCCCTCAGAGGTAGTCTCTGTAGCCCTTTCTGGATTATAATGGAGCAGAGATGAGTCTTTTGTCAAGCAAACTGGCAGGAGCAAAAGCAATTCTGCCGCTTTTGCAGATGAGCTTCATTAATTAGCTCATCAACAGACTGGGAGACCTGAGGTGTAGGTTCTGAGCACAAGTTGATCTCATTGGGATCCTTGGTGTAGGCCTAATCAGATAAGATATGAGGGGAGCAGTGGAGTGTCATCTCTCTTCTTGCTGAATATGGGCAGCTGTATAAATAGGAACACAGAAGTTATGGGATGGGGAAGGAGAGTGGGTAAGAAGAATCTGTATCCTTGCTTGAGCATGGACAGGACTGGGACTGTAGGCTCCCTTCCCTGAAGCAACAATGGGCCAGAAACAGCTGTGGATACTGAAACAGACCTTTCATTGTTCTTCTCTAGATGCTTAGTGTCCAGATTTCCAGTATGGAGCCAGGATCCCCCTTTTCTGCCCAACCTTTTAGCCTTGTGGATCTTGCATTCTTGATTACAGAGTACCCTCGCTTCCATGGACACTTAGGCAGAAGGTCCTGCCTCTGTATAGCCAGATTATTCCTGGGGTGGTGCTCCTTCTCTGGGTGAGTTACCTGACTGCAGGGCTGCAGTACAGCACCTTGCCAGTGCCACCACCATCAGCACTCTGCCTTCTGGGGCTTCTTCACACGGCACAGGAAAGTTCGGGACACGGCTTTGCTTGTAGGTGGAAAATGGGCAGCTGCCAGAATGAGTCTGTGTGGACATGTGCCTGGTGGTTGGTACCCAGGGAAGCTCCATCCTAATAGTGAGGGACCTCATGGGTTTGGGGGAGGCTGTGTAGGACTCTTCATGGGACAGTGGGTGGGCATGGGATCATGAACCTAGGCAGGCTTTTGTGTGTCTGCCTCCCAAATCAGGGTTTCAGCATGCCCATTCTCACACTTCACATCTTTCCAAACTGGATTTTCTTTGAAATTAG